CTCTCTTTTTTGTTTTCCATTTGTGTAGAAGATCTTTCTCCATTCCTTTACCTTGAGCCTATTTGTGTCATTAGAAGTGAGACAAATTTTCTGAAGATAGTAGATGGATCATGTTTGGTTTTTTTCCAATTTGCCACTCTATGCCTTTAAACCATATGTTTAGGCCATTAACATTCAAGTTAGCTACTGATATATGCAGTTTTCTGCCTGTCATATTGTTGTTAAGAAGTTATTTTGTGCCCTCAGCTTCATGATTGATTTTTATGGTTTGCAAACCATGTGTTTGCATGTGCTTGAGTGTTAGATGATATCATTCTTTCATTTCTGTGTTTATAACTCCCATAAGCATCTCCAGTAGGGCTAGTCTGGAGATGCTAAATTTCCTTAGTGCTTGCTTGCATGAGAATGAGTTTATTTCACCTTCATTTATGAAGTCTAGTTTGGTAGGATAGGAAATTACTGGCTAGCATTTCTTTACAAGTACAACTATAAATGGGTCTCAAATTTCTTCTGGCTTGTAAGGTTTTAGATGAGAGGTTTTCTGTTATTCCAATGGATCTCCCTTGCTAGGTGTTCTGTTCCTTTTCTCTAGCTGTCTTGAATATTTTCCTTTCATACCTATCCTGCATAATCTAATGATGATGTGCCTTAGGTATAGTCATCTCATGTAGCATCTTGCAGGAGCTCTCTGGATTTCTTGTATCTGTGTGTCAACTTTTGCAAGATGGGAAAAGTTTTCATGGATTATGTCTGTAACTACTGTCTTAAAAGTGCTCCCATTTTCTCCTTTTTCAGGACTACCAATCAGACATTGATTTGGTCTCTTTACATAACTTCACACTTCTTGAAGAGTTTGTTCAGTTTTTGAAATTCTTTCCTATTTTTTTCTTTTTTAAAATATGACTGTTTCTTCTATGGGTTTGTTTTCAAGCTTTTGTCTGCTTGGTCAAGTCTGTTGTTTTTGTGTATGGGGATATAGGGGTCTTGTTTGAATCTTCTGCATGTGGTCAGTCATTTACTGAATGGGTTCTCCTCTCCCCAGTGGTGGGTGGTGGAGGCTTTGTTGAAGATGAGTGGTGGAGAAATTGAGGTTTTGCTTTTGGAATCTCAATTCTAGTCCATTGGTCTATATGCCTGTTCTTGTACCAATACCAAGCTGTTTTGATTATTGTAGCTTTATAGTAAAGTTAAAGTCGATAGTGTGATACCTCCTGCTTTGTCTTTTTGTTTGTTTGTTTGTTTGTTTTTTGCTGAGGATTGTTCTGACTATTCTTGGTCATTTGTGTTTCCACATGAATTCCTGTATTGTTTTTTCTAGATCTGAGAAGAATGTTGTTGGCAATTTGATGGGTATTGCATTAAATCTGTAGATTGCCTTAGGTAAGATGGACAACATCACAATGTTGATTCTTCCAATCCATGAGCATGGGGTATTTTTCCACTCAACTCTAAATGAATCAGAGACCTAAATGTAAAACCTCAAACCATAAGAACTTTAGAAAATGCAGGACACACCGTTATGAAAGTTGGAAATGGCATCCAATTCCTGAGCAAAACCCAAAATGCACAGGGCCATAAGAGATAAGATAGACAAGTGGGACCTCATTAAACTGACAAGCTTCTGCAAAGTCAAAGAAACCATCAAGAGAGCAGAGAGACAGCCCACAGAGTGGGAAAAGGTATTTTCCAGCTCCATGTCTGACAAAGACCTAACATCTAGGATCTACAAGGAACTCAAATGTGCTGCAAAGAAAAAAACAAACAACCCCATTACCAAGTGGACAAAAGATATAAATAGACACTTCTCAAAAGAAAACATATGAGTGACCAACAGATACATGAAGAAATGTTCAACCTCACTAGTCATCAAGGAAATGCAAATTAAAACTACACTGAGATACCACCTAACTCCAGTCAGTTTGGCCATTATCAATAACTCAAAAAACAACAGATGCTGGAGAGGATGTGGCGAAAAGGCAACACTTCTACACTGTTGGTGGGAGTGCAAACTAGTGCAGCCTCTATGGAAATCAGTGTGGCAATTCCTAAAAGCTCTAAAAATTGACCTTTCATATGACCCCGCAATCCCCTTACTGGAAATATACCCTGGAGAACTCAAATCACTCTATAAAAAAGATACCTGCACATGTATGTTTATCACAGCATTGTTCACAATAGCAAGATCATGGAACCAACCATGCTGTCCATCAAAAAAGAACTGGATTTTTAAAATGTGGTACATATACACAATGGAATATTATGCAGCCATAAAAAAGAACAAAATCATGAATTTCGCAGCAACCTAGATGGAATAAGAGTTTATAATACTGAGTGATCTCTCACAGAAACAAAGAACTGGGTATCACATGTTGTCACTCATAAGTGGACCTTGAACAACTATCGTAACTATAAGAAAAGGACTGACAGTGGTGGGAAACTATGGGGGGGCAGAAAAGGAAGGGAGGTGGGATTAATGGTAGTCAATATCTGTCTGGGGATGGGGAGGCACACCTCATCAACAAGGGTACCTGCACAATGCATATTTGTATACCTATCCCTTAACTGCACCCCACAATTTTAAAATAAAAAGTATGCATTTAAAAAAAGAAGTCTGTTGTTAATGCTTGTTGTTGTGTTTTAAAATTCTTGCAGTGAGTGTTCTTCATTTCCAGAAGTTCAGTGCAGTTCTTTCTTAGAATGACCATGTCAGCTTTCAATTCTTGAACTGTTTTCACGGTCTCTCTGATTTGGGAGATCACTTTCTCTTGGATCTCTTGGATGAGTGATGAGTTTCCTTGCCATCCATTCTCTGAACTCTATATCTGGCATTTCAGACAACTTGTTCTGCATATGACTCATTACTTTGGAGCTATGGCGATTGTGTGGGGATGAAAAAACACTCTGACTTTTCGTGTTTCTGGAGTTCTTGTGCTGTGTTCTTCCCATCTGAGGGTGCTGATGCTTTGCTCTCTCTCTTTTGGGAGCTGCCTCTCACCATGTTGGCGCACTCCCTGATCTCTACACTGAGTTCAGATCCCTGTCAGCAAGCTGTCTCCACTTTTCTGCCTTTTGTGGGATCCACTGCTTCTTTGTTGAGTCCTGGGGGTTTTGTTTCTCCTTTTCCTGCTCTGAGTGTGGAGACTTGCTCCTGATGTTCAGTTCCTTTCCATGAAAGGAGGGCATACCAGCTGCTGCTAGTTGGTCTTGTTGTACCCAAAACAGTGACCTAATTTTTACATATGGTGTGATGTGTGAGTCCAAATGTATTCTTTTGCATGTAGATATGCAGTTGTCCCTGAATCATTTGGTGAAGAGACGATTTTTTTTTCCTACTGAATGGTTGTTTTATTCTGATCAGGCTGCCATAACAAAATACTGTAGCCCAGGTGGCTTAAACAACAGAAATTTATTTCTGCATACTTCTTGAAGCTGGAAATTTGAGATCAGAATGCTAGCATTAGTTGGGTACTAATGACAGCTATATTCCTGGCTTTCAGATAGATACCTTCTTGCTGTTTGGGTGTGGATAGAGAAATATATCTCTCTATATATATTCCTCTGCTTATAAGGCCACCAATCCTGTCAGATTAGAAAACCACTCTTATGCCTTCATTTAACCTTAATTACCCCCTAAAAGTCACATGTGTAAATACAGTTACATTAGGATTATAATATGTCAATTTCAACATATAAAATTTGGGGTTGGGGGGATACAATTTCATCTATATTTTGTCTTCATTGCTACCTTATTTTGCATTTAATTGATTTTTATTGTAATGTTAAAATTCTATTCTTAATTTCTTTTCTGTATGTTTTTTAGTTTTTTTACAGGTTGCTATGAGATTACACGTTATGTCTTAAATTTATAATGATCTACTTTGAATTTATATCAGCTTAGCATTAACAGCATATACAACCCTGCTCCTATACAACTCTGTCCCTCTGGCATAAATGTTGTCATTATTATAAATTGCCTATTTATTTATTGTGTGTCCATGAACACAGATTTATAGTCATTATTTCATGCACTTGCATTTTACAGTATATGAAAAATAAAAAGAAGAGTTAAAACCCAAATATAATAAATATATCTTTTATAATTACCCACAGATACCTCTACTGGAGTTTTTTAAATTTCTCTGTATTGCTTAGAATTATTGTCTCATGTCTTTTCATTTCATCCTGAAGGGCTTTCTTTAACATCTCTTGTAAGGCAAGTCTACTAGCAACAAACTCTCTTAGCTCTTGTTTGTTTGGAAATGTCCTAAATTGTTCTTCATTTTTGAAAAAAAATAGTTTTGCTAGATATAAAGGTCTTCCTTGACCTTTTTTTCTTTTTTTTGTAGAGCATTAAAATGTTATACCTTTCCCTTCAAGTCTCCATGGTTTCTGATGAGAAATCGCCTGTTAATTTTATTGTGTATCCCATGTACGATGAGTTGCTTGGATGAGCTTGGTGCTTTAATAGATTTTTTTAATTAATACTTTGATTACAATTTTTCCCTTTGTGGATCTTTTTTATTTTTTTGGAACTCATTTAACTTTTTAGATGTTCACATTTTTGTCTTTTATCAAACTTGGATTTTGGGGGCCCACTGTTTCTTAATGTATTCTTTCTTTTCCTTTCCCTCTCTCTTTCTGGAATTCTCACTATTTATATGTTAGAATGCTTGATGATATCCCATAGTCCCTTGGGTTCTGTTCATTTTTTCTTCATTCTTTTTACTTTCAGTTCCTAAGGATGGATAATCTCAGTTGACCTATTTTCAAGTTTGCTGAGTTTTTATTTTACTTTCTCAAATGTGCTATTGAAACCCTCTAATGAGACTTTCATTTGTGTTACTGTATTTTTCAGCTGTAATGTATCCATTTATATTCTTCAGCTGTAGTACATCTCCTTTATATAACTTCTATTTATATTCTCTGCATGTTCATACATTGTTCTCCTAGTTTTCTTTATTGTTGTGTCCATGGTTTCTTTTAGTTTTCTTTTTTTTTTTAATTTTGAAGTCATTTTTTTTTTTTTTGCAAAGTGGTTATTAACAAGTCTATATAAGGTTAGGACTTCACTTATAAGTGTTTTCACTTGAAATCCTTCAGGACTCAGTTGTATGTCATGTAGCAGGGAGTGGCACTGAATTTGGCATAAGACTTAATGACCTTATTTACAGCTTCCAAGAAATCCTTTTCAGTAGCAATTTTTCGCCATGCTCTGATAGCAAACATGCCAGCTTCTGTACAGACACTTCTAATTTCAGCACCAGTACTATTTGGACACAGCCGTGCTAACAATTCAAATCTGTTATCTCTTTCAACACTCATTGAACGGGCATGAATCTTAAAGATGTGAGTCCTACCCTCTAGATCAGGTAAGCTAAATTCAATCTTTCTTTCCAATCTCCCTGGCCTCATCAGTGCTGGATCCAAAGTATCAGGTTTGTTAGTAGCCATCAGCACTTTAATATTGCCTCGAGAATCAAAACCATCCAGCTGATTGATCTGTTCCAACATTGTTCTCTGCACTTCATTGTCACCTCCAGCACTATCATCAAACCGAGCCCCTCCAACAGCATCAATTTCATCAAAGAAGATAAGGCAGGTTTTTTTTTGTTCTGGCCATTTCAAAGAGTTCACAAACCATTCGAGCCCCCTCACCAACATATTTCTGTACAAGCTCAGATCCAATAACTCGAATGAAGTAGGCATCAGTCCTATTAGCAACTGCCCGAGCACAAAGTGTCTTGCCTGTACCAGGTGGACCAAAGATAATCAATGCTGATTTGGAGGACCCAAAATACATTATCAACGTAAAGCAGTTTGCCAAGTTTGTGGTGGACCTTAGTGATCAGGTGGCACCTACTGACATGGAAGAAGGGATGAGAGTTGGTGTGGACAGAAATAAATACCAAATTCATATTCCATTACCTCCTAAGATTGACCCAACAGTTACCATGATGCAGGTGGAGGAAAAACCTGATGTCACATACAGTGATGTTGGTGGCTATAAGGAACAGATTGAGAAACTACCAGAAGTAGTTGAAACCCCTCTACTTCATCCAGAGAGGTTTGTTAATCTTGGCATTGAGCCTCCCAAGGGTGTGCTGTTCTTTTAGTTTTCTAAGCTTAGTTAAGACAATTGATTTGAAAGTCTTTGTCTAGTCCATTCAGTGTCCATGTTTTCTCAGACATAGTTTCCGTGAATTGGCCAAACTTTCTTACTTCTTTGAATGTTTGAAAATTTTTGTTGCAACTGGACATTTTGAATATACTATGGTGACTTTGGAAAACAAAAATTTTCAGAATTTGAAACCTTCAGTTTTTCCTCACAGACTTTTGGTGTTCTGTTATTTGCCTGCTCTGTAACCTTTTGGCTCAGGTGTCTGTGGGTTGTTAATTTGCTTTAGAATAGTTTTCAGGAATGGCTGCTACTTTTCTTTCCTGAGTGAGTTCTGAGTTAGGGAAAACAAAGGAAAGCACCTGTGTCCGTTCTGTAAATAGCCCAAGACAGCTTAGAACAGAGAAACATTTTGAGAATTCTCTGAGAATAAAGTCTGCTTTGCTCCCTCCAGAACCAGAACACAGAGTCCCACACTGGCAAGGTAGGCTGCCTATTTCAAGACCAACTTGGAGCCTGGGAGGGGGTGGGGCAAGGGCAAATAAAAACATCACAAAGCTTTCTTACCATTTGTAAGCTGTCTTTTGTGTGATTCAGCATTTGCTTTGTTGATGTAAACCTTTAACTATATTTCAGAGTTTTGATGAAGTCGGTTTTGACAGTTATGGCTAGATTTTTTTCATGTTTCTTTGAGGGTCCTTGGAGATAGCTACTATTCAATTTTTATTTACCTCATCTCTTAGAGTATTTTTTATTACTGACTTTTTTTTAACATTTGTCTAACTCCTCTATAACGTAATGTATATAACTAGTGCATAATTGATAGTCAATGCATGTCCTTTACCACAATAAGTGACAAGTGAAGATACCTCAAGATTTTAAAAATTAGCAATAAATTGGATGATCATATATAAATAATTTTAAATAACTGATTTTTTATTGAACCTCACCTATTAATTTTTCCAAGTGTCTTAACTTTATCTTTTGGAGCACTGTTCTGAATTTCATCCCTTTAAATTGGTAGCTACCTGTTAGTATTCAAAGTTATTCAAAATCACTGGAAGCAAAGTCTTAAAGAAATGTAGTATATTAAAACTTTTACATGTACATTTAGCTTACTGGTTCATGATTTTTTTTCATGAAAATATATCACTTGTGGTTGCAAAAATAAAATCTGTTTATTTAAATAAGTATGTATACTTTGTTGATATAAAAAGCTTATTAAATGTGTTATTATAAGTTTGTTAATATCTGTTATGATTGAGAAAGTACCCATTCAATATAAGCATGACAGGACAACCTCGTGACAGCAGGGCTAATGTGAACAGAAAGTCTAAAGGTATTCAAGTGGCAAAGCCCAGATGATGACAGCCTTAATTCATTCTGCTATCACTCACCATTTACATTTTTGATGATGCAAATTTCCCCTTTGGTTTATATGGCAAACATTGTATTGTTATATAATGTTGTATTTATGTTTTACTAGGTTTATAGATTTGAGTGTTTAAGTATTGTCAAACTAAAAATTACCTTCTTGATTTACAATGACAAGTTGATTGACTTTGGAAAGAGGTTATATTTACATTTTTCTGGGTCTACTCTTTTGAACAGTTGCCTCCATAACCGAATCCACCTTTTTCAGGTGCCATCAGGCAAAAACCAAGAACAGCAAGCTCAAATATTTGTTTGGAAGCTCTGCACAGAGCATATATATGCTGCTTGGGAAAATCATCCATGGAGGATAATAGAGGCAGTACTTTTATGAAGGATACACATTAAAAAGTAAAAGAAAAAGAAAGCCCCTGCAAGTCAGCTGAATAGGGAATATCAGTACAATAAGAGTCAGCTGCTGCCATTAGAGTATTCTCATTATTAAATTAGGTTTAGAGAAATGAATTGAGGTTTATTTATTGTAAAAGAACTATAGTTTCTATATTCATACATCAGAAATACTAAAAAGAGGATTGTTTTGGTTTAGTTGTATAGATAGCTGGTCAGGTAGAGCTAGACGTACGTAGGTAGGTAGTTAAACAATATCAGAACAGTGTTATTTCTGGTTATTATCTACAGTAAAAATACACTTTGTTATTGTTTCCTCATTAATTCAGTTCAATAGTGGTGATTAGCACATTTTTAGCATAAAAATAATTTTTTTTGTTGGGTCTTTAGATGTATTGAGCTATGACAGGCATTTTTTCTGTAAAAGATCATCTTTCTGGCATGATACAATGAAATCCTAATATGCTCATTATTTTGAGAAGATTATAGGATAGTCAAGGGAAAACTTCAACTTTTTAATTGGCTGTTAGTAAGCCTGATTATAAAGAAAACAAGAAATAGAACTCCAGATCACAGTTTCTGCTCTTAGAGTACAAATAAATCTATTTTGAATAAATATTTGGGAGAAGAAATTATTGAGCTAAATAATTTCAATGCTAATTTTTATTTCCCTCTTTTCATATTGTGTGGCTATAACTTTCTGCTTGTTCCTTCCAACTTATCAACTTGATTTTTCCTTTAAGTAATTCCAATCATGTGTTACCCTGTTCTAATCAAAATTTTTGTCTTTCTCCTTGTTATTTCTGTAGACCACTGCATGAAATTTGAACGCTGACATTTTGCAGTGTGTATAAATAGATTTTTAGCTATCAGAAATTACTGTGTGCTTTATATTTTATTTCTAATTTTTTATTCTAAAGATGTGGGGTACAATTCAGGGTTAGGTATATAAATGTTCATTATGCAGGTACCCTAGTTGATGAGATAGGGCCCCCTCTCCTAGCAGTTCCCCTCAACTGCCAATCGCACCTCCCATCCCCTGGTAGTTTCCCACTACTGCCAATCCCTTTCTTATAGTATTACAATGGTTGTTCAAGGTCCACTTATGAATGAGAACATGTGATACTCAGAGTTCTTTGTTTCTGTGATAGATCAGTCAGTATTATAGACTCTAAGTCCATCCAAGTTGCTGTGAAGTTCATACTTTTATCCTTCTTTATGGCTGTGTAATATTTCATCATGTATATGTATCACATTTTAAAAAATCCAGTCTGTTTTCAATAGGCAGCACGGTTGGTTCCATGTTTTTGCTATTGTGAATAATGCTGCAATAAACATGCGTATGCAGGTATCTTTTTCATAGAGTGATTTGAGTTCCTCCAGATATATGCCCAGTAGGGGGATTGTGGGGTCATATGGGAGGTCAGTTTTTAGATTCTTTAGGAATCGTCACACTGTTTTCCACAGAGGCTGTACTAGTTTACACTCCCAGTGACAGTGTAGAAGTGTTCCCTTTCTGCTGTATCCTCTCCAGCATCTGTTGTTTTTTGAGTTATTGATGATGGTGTACTTTATATTTTAAACTGGCTTTTTATTTAAATGAATCTTAAAGAATCCATGTAGGTGGTTGTAACATGACTAAATTAGTCAGTGTGATTTGACATGCTTGGGATTTGCTTAAGGATTGTTTGTTCTATTTATTAATATTTGTCTTTATAGATATTTTCTGGTAATGGTGTTTTGAAGTCACATGGATGCTGCACAATCTATGAGAGTAATATTTACAAATCATATGTCACTTTTTCCCCTATGGATAAAAGAGTTTTAACCTTTTTTTTTTTTAATGAGCATGCTAAAGATACTAAAGTTTCTGATACAAGAAGGCATTTTCCTTGGGAACACATATTGTGTAACTTATGCAAAAGCTGATGTAGAGTGACCTTGTCTCTCTGACTCCAAAATAAATGTTCTTTCTATGGCGTACTTTCATTCTTAGGTATTTTTAGTAGTTTTTCAGGTTTCCATGGGCTATATTTTATTACCTTATAGCCTCCAGAATTTAGGAATATATCTTGAGCATGGTAGATTACTTTTTATAATAGATATTACAAATTTAAATAATTTAAATTCATAATTTATTATCAATTATTTAACACTTCAAATTATTATATAAAAATTAAGTTGTGCCATGCTCAGTGGCTCAGCCTGTAATCCCGCGCCTTTGGGAGCCTGAGGTGAGCGGATTGCCTGAGCCCGCGGGTTTGAGACCCGCCTGGGCAGCGAGACCTCATCTCTACAATAAATCAAAAAATCACCTGGGCGTGGTAGCACATGCCTGTAATTTTGGTTACTCGGAAGACTGAGGCAGAAGGATCACCGGAGCCCAGCAGGTAAGGCTGCGGTGGCCAGGAGCGGCCACTGCACTCCAGTCTTGGCGACAGAGTAAGACTCCAACTCAAAATAAATAAATACCTCCAGATATATGCCCAGTAGGGGGATTGTATATAAATAAATAAATAAATAAGTTGTATTAACAAAACATTGGCACAATAACAGATTAATAATGATGATTATCAAATATAAGTAATTGCTTTTCCTTGACTAGTTGATTTTGGATTCATGATTGAAATGATACCTGAGCTCTGGCTCTCAACTGAGAGCCTCTGAAGCCCTGGCTATATCACATTCCCTAGGTAGGATTTGATTTTTTTTTTTCAGTTGAAGTCTTACTCCATTGCCCAGGTTGGAGTGCAATGGCTCACTCATAGTCACCCCAGCATCAACTTACTGGACTCAGGTGATCCTTCTGCCTCAGCCTTCCAAGTAGTCGGAACTACAGGCGTACACTACCACGTCTGGCTAATTTTTTGATTTATTGTAGAGATGAGCCTCACCAAGTTGCCTAGGCTGGTCTCGAACCCCTGGGCTCGGTGAATCCTCTCACCTCGGCCACCCAAAGTGCTGGGATCACAGGCTTGAGGAACTGTGCCTGGCTGGATTTTAAAAACGTTGCATATAGTCTGAGAAAAGAAGGCCTTATATGTATCAAAAAGACATGGTGAGGTAGAATAGGCTCTAATCAACACTTTTCATTTAATTTCCTTTTTTAATGTTGGCAATCATATTTGTGATTATTTATAGTGTGTTTTAGCTATTTTAGTCTGTTTTAGAAAATATTATTTCCATTCAACAGAGTCATAGCAAAGTATT